ATTCTACCTAGCGTCTATGTTACAAGGAGAATTAAGGGATTATCTCAAGTTATACAAGTATTTGAAATGATAAATATAAGACGTACAAGTATACAAGCACAACTATACTAAACAAAATTGAAACATACACGTAACAAGTATATAAGGCGCAAGTATACTAAATGAAATAGCAAGACATGCGAAGCAAGTATACATGGCATGAGTATACTGAGTGTAATTGAAAAACACAAGAAGCAAGTATACATGACTCAAGTATACTAAATGGAATTGAAAGTGCAAGAAGCAAATATATAAGGTTCAAATATACTAAATGAAATTGAAAACGCAGAAAGCAAGTATACAAGGCTCAAGTATACGAAAAGAAATTGAAAACGCAACCACTAATTCACAAGTTACAAGTAATCAATGATTAACAACTTGGAATTGAATGCTAAATCAAGTAGTTGGAAAGACTAGGACATATGGGCTCTAGACCAAGTAAGTTATTTCGGGTAATTATGACCCACAAGGTACTACCTAGTGTGCACTAATATCGTAGGGAAAACTCCTATCTCCCGTACTAGAGCCGAACCCTAGCCGTGACATTTTTAAGTCCTTACAAGCTTTCCAAAATTAACAAGTTCATAACATATACAAAATAACAATGCATGAAACTACCTACCAAGCATAAGTAGGGTGAAACCACACAAACCATGTCCTAATGTTTCATGTCTACAATAGCATACACCATGTCGAATCTTTAATGTGCGATTCGTTACACATACAATAGTATACAATATATCGAATCTTCAATGTGCGATTCATTACACACTAAGATTATAGTATAAAACAACTAAATCAAGTTACCATTTGCAAGTTATAATTACTAAGCATATAACAACCTAGAAATAAGCTCTCAAGGTAAACATAATTAATATCCTACAAGAGTTTATCTTCTCAACAAGACAAATCTCTAGAAATTAACAAGTTATTGAATCAAATAACCTTTCTACACAATATTTATAAGCTACACATGCTTTAAATTTCTAAATATTAATTAAATCAAGTTACTATCATGCAAGATACAATTACTAAATATATTACAATATAGTAATAAGCCTTCAAAGTAGACATTATTAATATTATTCAAGATTTCATCATCATAACACCAAAATCTCAAGATAAAATGAAACAATTTACTTACACATGAAATACATACTATACATGCTTTGAATTATAAAACCCTAAGTTAAGCATATAATTTCATAAATAAGCATGTATTATAAAACTTTTTCTCAATTCTCATAAATAATAAATTCTCATTTGAATTTGTGGTTTAGGCCATAAGAAATCCTTACATCTATTAGAAACATAAATATTAGTACTTAAGTCAACCTATCATGTATTAGAAGGAATATGAATAAGTGATTCGAAATATACAAAAGTTAAAAGACTTATCTTTCTTTTCGAATCATTCTTTATATTTCATATAATCTTTCTAAAAATATTCAATACTTAAATGACACTTTTACATTATTACATTCCTTTATTTTAGTAGATTGACCTAAATCTTTTAATTTTGGATGTTGCTTACTTAATGCATTTTCAGGTTTATTTCCAAATTCCTTTCTAACTTCTTGAGTCATCAGATGAACATAATGATTATCATGCTGCTTAAACCTAGTCTATTCCTAAATTAACATAATGGTCAATTATTTCATTTTTCACTTGTCTTAATAGTATTAATTCGAAATGACCCATACTGAGTAAACAAGAAATTGAAAATAAATTGAACGAGATAATTCTCATCTACAATCATCCATAAGGTTCTCAAATTTGTAGCAACATTAGTCATCTAAAAAATATGTCCATACATGGTACGAGTACCAACACAAATGCATAGTAGTGATATCAATCAATAATTTTCGTTTTAGATATTTATCTACAATACGAAAACATTCTTTTAGTCAAAAATTCCTTATCACTATCACTAAGGGGAACAATTATTCGTATAGCCATAATATTTAATCTGTTCGATCTCTCCTAAATTTTGAACTTAACTTACTCATTCTATTATGAGAAGTTAGCACTATTGCGAATCAAAATAGATATAGAATGCGAATTAAGGGATGTAACACAGAAACAAAATAAGATAAAATACTCACAACAATAATGTTTTGAGTTAACAACACATATGTATAACTTAAAAATATAAATGTAATGTATAACTATATTACCCCTTTGGGTGGCAACTATAAAATACTAATAATGATGCTTAAATGTATTTATATGTATATCTTCATTAATGATGCATTATTTAATTAAACAAATAAGTTACCTTTTGATATCCTATATCTACCTAATTAAAAAAATACATACAACCCCTTAATTTTTATTTAATCACTTGAAAATCAATTCCATTTGGAGAATTATTTCTCATAATTAAATAAAGTCAATATTCATAAATACCATAAAAAATCATAAGCATCATAATTCATAAAATATTGCAATTATGTATATTACTAAAATTAATATCCAACAACCATTATGGTTAGGCCACTTTGGTAGCTACCAACCTTTACATAATATGAATATTAAATTAGTTAGTGACAAATTCATCTTTAATTATATTTACTACTAAAATTAATATTCATCAATCATTATGGTTAGGCCACTTTGGTAATTACTAACCCTCATAAACATGAATATTAAATTAGCTAGTTACTGATTCATCATTAATTTACCCATTTAACATTATGCACACATACTTACATTGATCGATTCAAATTTAAGTAGGTTCGGTCCCAGAAATATAATAGTCCAAAAAATTTAATAAAAATATCCTTTTATTTTATATACATAATAAAATGTATTATTTTTATTTTCAGACTTGAATATCATAATTGAATCAAATTAAAATGGACTCTCTATCATGTATATGTGTATGACTACAAAGATAATAAAATAAATAAATACAAAAACTTTATATATTTAATAATTTAAATATCTAGACTCACAATTTTTTTTAGAAATTTAAATTTATTTAATAAAATAAATAAATACACAACCTTTATGTATTTAATAATTTTAATCTTCCAATCACAGTTAGTTTCTTTCAAAAACGTAATAGCAAAAAATTTATTAAAAGCTTTTCAATCCCACATGTTGTGCACGAAAATCAAGAACCAAACACATCATTATTTAACTTGATTGCCTCTGTCAACATACATAAAACATAATAAACCCACAGCATATTCATATGTACGGCAATTCTCCAACAATGCCATAAGATGAATCAAAACAAATTATTCATATATATCCATATGTATGCTGATTAGTGGGTACTTAAGATATATTTAACTCCCAAGTGAAGTTCATTTTCACCCCAATCAAATTTGTTTGGTGCCGCACAAACAGATCAACATAATACTAGTAAAATACACTATTATTTTTCTTTCAGATCACAAATCAAAGTTTTCAAATACCCATCACACTAATCAAAATCACACCAATCAAAACATACACACATATATATATGTGTGTGTGTGTGTGTGTGTCGATTCTATAAGAAAATTAAATTATACAAATATTTAATTTTACTTTATATTTATAAATTATTTCTATAGAGGAAAATAACGAGTTCCTAAACTGTAAGCTCTGATACCACATATAAACTTTAATAATTCGTGTCAAGCATTAATCACAAATAAACATGAATCCCAAAATCTTAGAACTTCATGATTTTCACATATCTATAATGCATAAATAAATAGTTAGATATAAATATCTCGATCCGTAATTGTAAAACTCGTAGAGATCAAGGCAAACATTGAGATCTTTTCTGCGGAACGAACAATATGCTAAACTGCAATAGCCAAAGCGTGGAAATCGATTTCTCTCTCTTGGTCTTCTGCACACAGAAATATTATACGTGTTGTTTTCATTAGTATACATAATTGATGGGATATATGCATTTTTATAAAGACAGAGAGTGGACCAGTTTTCCTTTTAGCAACCGTAATTTCACTTTCTATCAAAGTAAGGAATAAATAGGAAAATACTTCCCCAATAATTAATTACCAAAAGGTAATTAATAAGTTGACCAAATAATATAATATTAATCTCATATCTATTTACTTAACCACTAATTAATGAAATATATCGTATGTCCAAATCATATGGGCCACACAATTAATAATAACAAAGGCTGTACATATTATGCATAAGTAATCTAACAATTGTGTTTTGTTTGGAACCAAATTCATGTGAATTTGGAATTAGAATTAGGCTGTGTTTGGTAGCATGAAATTAGAGCTTTAGAATTAAAATTGGTAAAAAAATAATAATAATAAAAAATAAAAATAAAAATAAAAAAATTAGTTCAATTTTCTAAGTTGTTTTTCTCCAATTCAACCAATTCTAATTCCAATACTTTAATTTCATACCTGCCGAACATAGTCTTAGAATGAATTATATTGTAATTAGAATGGAATTCTATTTGCATGACTTTATTAGGTATAATTCTTCCCTCACAACATCCATTCCAACCGGATGTGGTGTGGTAGCCCAGTGGTAGGGCATGTGTTAGCTTGTGGCCAAAGGCCCATGTTTGAATTTCCAATCCATCTATGCTTTAATTTCCCAAAAAAAAAAAAAAAAAAAAAAAAAATCCATTCCAACCTATAGTATAACTCAAACTCTAACAAAAATGTGAGACATTAGTTAAATAAATATTAACAATAGATGAATCATTTATAAGATTGCACAAAAAAAACTTTGTTTTAAAAATAATAAAATATTTGTTCCCAATCATATCTCTACTCTAAATATAATTAGATAAAAAAAAAAAATGCTTCTCAACATTACACTTGTTTTTTTTATTTATTTTTTATACTCATACACACATATTTTGATTGAGACTAACTCTGACATTCTTTTGAAAAGTAAAGTTTAATACCGTTATGTTACTTCCTGTTGATACTTTGATACTCAACATTACATAGAACACCTTTTTTAACACATTACGGCCCTCGCGGCCTGATCAAGCAGTGGAAGCAACCTTGAGGCTGATCAGGAGGGATCATGCCACCACCATTGGAGGTGTCAATCGACTCTAAAATGGACACTAGCACTTCCATTTCAGGTCTCTTCTCCGGGTCTGAATTCCAACACCTCTTCATCACTTTAACAAGTGAGCTTGGGCAACATTTCGGTATCTTTGGTCTCATACTCTGCAAATCCAAAGTAAAAATTTTATTCAGTCAAGATATATGAGCCATTCTCATTCCAATTCTAATTCTAATTGTGCTGTTTGAAAATCAGAGATGAAAATGATTAAATCGGGTCAATTCATGTACTTCGTAAACAATGGCTGATGTTTGTTCCGAGAAACTGAAGTCCGAATATGGCTTTGCACAGCAATAGATCTCCCACAAGCAGATTCCATAACTGTAGACATCACTTTTCCGGTTATATGGACTACCATCAAGTACCTGCAGGTAGAATCATACCAACAAAATGGCATCTTAAAATTTTTTCATTACAATTCAAATAGCTTCATTCACTTTCTATATATATATAACATGTTGAAGACTGAAATTTATCATCTTGATTGGAGTAGTCAGTAGTGGTTACATAAGATGACATATATGATCTGGGTAAAGTCAGTGGCTTCATTCACAGTATGGATATCGGCATAAAAAAATGACATTTAAACACATCAATACAGGAGGCTGGAATAAAGTATTTGTACAGAAGTCTAGAAATGAATGGTTGAAGTATCAAGTGTTCATAGATAGTAGTTAATGAATGATGAAATTTATGGGAATAGATATTACTCATGCTTAATTAAGAGACATAGGAATTAATTATTTCACTACAGTACTAGTACTTGTTTAGTTTCTTAAGGCAATGAGTCATAGACTACATATAAGAATTAGCATAGTCTATGCATTCTTTGCATAGTAATACCTCTGGAGCCATGTAACCAAGAGTCCCCGTTAGGCCTGTCATCTCATTCGGATTTGCAGCCTCAACACGAGAAACTCCAAAGTCGGAAATCTTTGCTTTGAGCCCCTCGTCAAGAAGGATGTTCTCTGTCTTTACATCTCTGTGAACAATCTGATGGGAGTGAAGGTAACTCAGCCTGAAAAGAAGCAGATAGAAGAGCCACTTAATGCTTACCTTTTGAAAACTCTGCAAAATATTAAAGTATTGACTTGGGCATGCACGGGATGGAAGAATGTTGTTACCCTCTTGCAATATCAGTGGCTAGTTGGATGACTCTTTTGAAGGGCAGCTTCCTCGTCCGGTTCTTAAAGAGGTACGATTTCAGAGTTCCTCCGACAATATATTCAACCACGATGATACAAACATTACTTGCAACAAAAATTTTATCATCATCAGTTCTGATATTTTGTCCCGACATGCCTTTTGCAGCTCCAATTAACTGCAGAAAACGGTTTGACATGAGTGTCAATTCTTGAATCTAGGTAAAAATCTATAGAGTGAATTCCACTATGATTGTTATTTATATGAGTAGTGATATGGAGTCTGATAGTTGGACAAAAATTAACTAATTTGACGCGAGTAAAGATTGCCGTCATGAATATCAATGACATCGTGAATGTGAACTACATATATGTGCAATTATAATGTGTGTGTGTATATATATATATTAGGTATTCATGAGGTTATATACCTTGATGATATTAGGATGATCAAGCTTATTCCATATAGAAACTTCCTGCGTAAAAGCTTTTCTCAATGTAATGTTTGTCGCTTGGCCATCTTTCCCCCAGTCAAGCATTTTAACTGAGAAATATTTAACAAAGAACAAGAAGGCAGAGTCAGTAAATTAATATCAAATCTAAGACGATCAATTAATTAAAGACTTGTGACACTATAATTAACTAGAGTTGTTTGATATCAAAGATTTTATTGAATTAAATTTATCAATAATATTGAGAATGATAAAGCTCTTGTCTAAAATATATCAAAACCGAAAAACTTCACTAACATATATACACACACACACACACACACACACACACACACACACACACACCCGCATTCATGTCTCTGTCATTGCACAATTCTTGAAAACACGAGACTAGTGGTTGATTGGTTTAATGTGCAATTCTTGAAAACACGCTGGAACTATTTGTTCAATTTTCTGAGATATGTTTTTTTTTATGAAAATTAGAAGATTGTACAAAAATATAGTGAAAATCATTTTCTAGCGTATATTTATATATATTCCCACATTCATGTCTCTATCATGTACAATTCTTAAAAACACACCGAAACTAGAGATTTGTTTGGTTCGATTTTTTGTGATTATTTTTTTTATTTTCTGAAAAATAAAAATTATAAAATTACACAAAAATCTCTTTAGTTGATTAAAGGTTAGTATACTGTCTATATATTCGGCATTCATGTCTGTACAATTCTTGAAAACACACAAAAAAAAAAATTAGGGATTTATTTGGTTCAATTTTCTGAGATTATTTTTTTATTTTTGAAAAATTAAAAATCAGAAAATTATACAAAAATCACCTTAGTTAACTCTTTTTAAAAATCAGTTTAATTCAGTTTTTTTTTGTCAATCTCAAAAATTGTCAAAGAAGTACAAAATTTTGTTTTTACTTTCAATCCTCATAAAACTGGCAACACCCACTGAAAGAAAGTAAAATAAATAGAGCGGCATGAATCTTGAGAAACTCAAAAATACCTGCGACGTCGTTTCCATCGTAAATTCCCCTATGTACGGAACCAAAGCTTCCACGACCAATCAGGCTCTTAATCACGAGCTTTTTAACATCTAATTCCCATTCTTCTCTTTCGTCAAGTTCGATCTCCTCTAAGCTCTCGATCATGTCTACACTTATTTCCTCCATATTCAATCAAATAAGTGTGGCTATATATATGTGTGTGTGTGTATATATATATATTCTGGATATGCTTAAGTCAGTGTTTGAGTAGGAGTTATATTGTAGTTGTAAGTTAATGTTTTAAGTACACATGTTTCCTAATCCCTAGTTAACATGTAATCTACATAAGTATAAAAAAATATATATATATTTATTTTCTCTTGAAATTTGATTAAAAAAATTAAGTTTTGTCGTATTTAGGGTTTTTAATTAACTTCATTCTGTAAAATTCTTTTTTCCATTCAATTTGAGTATTATTCTATTGATTTTAATTTTGAATGATTTATTAATTTTTTATGAATATATTACCTGCAAAATAAGGTTTTTTTTTTTTTTTTTTTTTTTTTTGATAAAAAAGTTAAAACTTTGTATAATAAGTTTTATTATAAATAGTAAAATTTTATATTAATAATTTCTTACTTCAATATAATAGGATTCTTAATCCAAACTATACAAATCTAAGTGATTCAAACCAATAATAAACACATAATGATTATATTTCTAAGTTTATACCCTTATAGCATCTCCAACTGTTGATATATATATATATATATATATACATATATATATATATATATATATAAATTTGATGTGTTTAATAGATTTACATAAAAAAAAAAATTGCTTTATTTATTTTTAACTCCAACCGTTGTTTTATGCTTTTTGTGTAAAAAGATATATCTAATAACAACCCACCAATGTCATGTGTGGACCCCATATAATTTTTACAAACCTACTTAATATAAAGTTATTCGTTAGAATATCTTCAAAAGTATGTTAAAATATATTTTTGTGTGCCAAATATGATGTTTAATTTTTATTTTATTTTATTATTATTATTATTATTATTTTATCTCCAACGGTCTGTTAAGATAAACTTACATGTCATTAATGTGTTAAATTGTTGTGTATTTTACATAACTTTTTTACACAATTACATCAGCATATTTCTTTACTCCTCCCTCTTTTTCATTTCATAAAAAATGGTGTAAAATATACAGCAATTTTACACATTAGTGATGTGACAGAATATCTTAATAACCTGCTAGAGATAATAATAGTAATAATAACATTACACATCATATGTAACCGTACATATTTTACACAAAAAAATATTTTAAGATACTGCTAGAGATGTTCTTACCATAGTAAACTGACATGCACCTCTCAAATTATATACAAAAATATTTATAAAAGAATTCAAATTTTATTTAATTTAGAGTACTAATCAAATATATCTATATACTTATATAATATTATTATGATTAGGAACGTCTCATGTTGATGTCAGATTTTAAATTTTACAGTATTATTTATAAAAAATGATATAAACTTCAACTTTGTATTTTTATTCCAATTTTTTTTTTTTTACTTAAATTATATTTACAATCATTGTTACTCATGTACGTACATTTTTACTTATATATATGTGTGTGTATATATATATATATATAAGCTTTTTGGTATTTAGCCTATATTATATCGAATATTTTCTAAAACGAAAAAGACTCTTTATTCTAAAGAAAATTGTCTAACCATTTTCACTGATATTTGGGTAGAAAAGGACATCATGGTAATGTTATAAAAGTAGTTGAAGGAGAGCTCACAAAGTGTAAAGAGGGAGACCTTATTGTAACATAACTTAATTTTTATTATGAATTAGAAATTCGTATCCCGGGTTTATTAGGATTCATTGCAATTTATTATACATATCAGATAAGTTTTGAGAAACATGAAATTACCATATGTTGTGTAAATTTACATTTCAAAGACTACGTTTAGGATGCCTTTTGAAAAATACGATCACAGTGGATTTAACTTTGACATTTTATTTCGTGTTTTGTTTTTTCTCTTTGAAGATTATGAACTAAAAATCTTATTTACATATGTTGTATTTGAGGGAATCGAATTGATTTCATAAATTTGGAATTAGAAAAAATTAGGTCAAAATTTAAATTAACTTTTTTTTTGTCAATTTGATGCTAGCAAACATATCCATTTAAAGTATTTTAACGATAAAATATATTATTTTGATGGTTAAAGTTTGAGAAAACTGAAAAGAAAACAAAATGATACAATACTAGTAAATTATACAGAAGCAGGCCAGGAGGCAAAGGCTACAACATTGGAAAAGAACCCAGAAAAATATGGGGGCCCAAAAACTGAAAAGATAAGAGCAAAATGGGCCTAACATATTGTCTTGGCAATTAAAAAGACAGTTGAGCTGTTGAACATTAGGGCTCAGAGGCTGGGGTTTAAATGGGTGCGAGAGTTGGAGGAAACCTGGCCATGGCCAAGTGAATATAACATTGTTTACACAAAATTAGGACTGCTTGATTTGTCATTCAAAAAATTATTTTCAAAAGTTTTAGAGTTAAATTTTAATAATACCTCTTTAAGTTGGTTAATTTTCACCCTTAAATATTTTGTTCCGTTTTTCACTCAAAATATTTGAATTTAAATGATATATATGATTTACATATAATTGAATATATATATATATATATATATATATACCACAAACATTTCAACCAGAGGCTTTTGGAGAAAGGAGGGCTTAATGGGGCACCACAGAAACTGCCCTTAATTTAAGGGTTAATTTAAAAGGAAAAAAAAAAAAAAAAAATCCACTTCTTTTTATTTTTTATCATTATTTAAGAAAACTCCTTATATTTTTTACCCCAATATTCGAGTCCGACTCTTTAATGGGGCTGTAAAATGTCAAATTTGACCTTACTATATAATATTAAATTAAAAAATATAATAATTATTTGTGAAATTACAAAAATACCCCTGTCTATTTCCTCCTCTTCCCTCTGAAACTTTTACCCTATTGCCCAAGTATTGACTCTAGAGGGGGAGGGGGGGTAAATAGAGTCTATGGCAAACAATGGCCAATTTTTCGATTTTAATTGTTTTGCAAATTCTAACACACTTTATAATATTTATGCAATAATCAATATATAGGCATAAGCAAATAATATCATAAATTTAAAGGAGATAAGGGAAGAGAGATTTGCAAACATTCACACGGCGATTTTAGCGAGGTTCGGAAACTCCTACTCATCGGCTCAAGATTCCTCTTGAGACTTCCCAATCACTATGGCACCTCCTTACGGGTGGAAAACAAACCTTGATTAGAAGCAATTCCTTGCTGAGAGACAACCTCTCTTAGTCTTCCTTTGGGTCACACCAACCTTTACAAATATGAAGCTAGCTTGCTTCTTCTTCCTTGGGCCACACCAGCCCTTACAAATTGAAGATCAAATTTGTTGTATACAAATATATCTCTCAAAGATTGATATGCAAATATTAGCTCACAACTTTCAACTCATTCTAGAGTATATATATGAATAGATTGAAGCTCAATACTCTGTAAATGATATGGGATGAGAGAGTATGATATGAATGAAGAACAAAAGCTCTTTGGATGCTATATAATGTTTCTTAATGGTAGCAACATTAAATCTCGAAGTCCCCAGCTTTATTTATAGAGATTTGATGCAGGTAATTCAAAAATATAGCTGTTGTGCACACTGCCCGAGAGGAAATAGTCTTTCAAATTCAAATCTGGGCAGGTTCGGTCGACCGAACTGAAATACCATTGTGTTTCGGTCATCCGAAATGGTTTAAGGTTGGCTTTTATACTTGTTTCGGTAGACCGAAGAATTTTTTCTTCAGTTTCGGTCGACCGAAAGTCCTTCCTCCTTTGTGCCAAAACGTTCTGTGAGAATCGGACGAGCCGATTCATTTGGTCTTTTATTTCGGTCGATTGAAATAACTTGCCTATGCATTTCGGTCTGCCGAAATGAAACTGCAGCTCCAAGAATTTTGTTCTAAGTTAACAGATAAAACGTTCTGTGCACAGGACATCTGCACATACCTTATTTCCATGAAAACATTTAAGTAAATGACATTTACTTTAAGTTTACAATGTAAATAAGGAAGTACCCCCTATTTGGATTCAATAAAAAATACTAAAAAATCGAAATCTAACTAAATCAAAATGTAGAAATTCAGTTTTAGTACAAATTTGGATTTCCGACAATTTTGGTAAAAATGAATTCTTATGCAGACCAATGTAGACTTGGTCAAAAATTTTGATAAAATTAGTTTAGGCTAGTTGAAGTATAAAGAGTTATTACCGGGAAAAATTATTTTGAAATAATTATTATTTCAAAAATCAATTTTTCACACTTAGCCAAAAACACAGTTTTTCATAACGTACATTCTGGGGTCCTAGTGTCCGTTACCAACTCATGGTAATAAAGGCTTCTCATGCCTTAATTGTTAACCAATATGAATTATATGATTGATGAACATGGTCTTAGCATTTCTAGCACAAATGATGAGTTCTTTCAAAGCTTATGCAAGCTTGAACTAACTCATTCTTTAGCAATGACTTTATGTGCAATTATATATGAATGAAGTGCATAGTCTTTTGCTAATAGATATAGGAGCATATGATGATATGATATGCATGGTCCTATAGAGATGAGCTTCAAATGGATTCATAAATACTTTGACATTGAATCCTAAACACTCACCATCCTATCTAACCCTTTCTTCACGCTTTGTCCATAATCGTGTAGGCTTTTAGGTAGACTTGCTTTCTTCCTTTCTTTGAGTTGTTTTCTTACTTGTTGTAGTCCAAGCTATCTTTGGATGGACTTTGCATTTGTTTCTTTGCAACTTATTGTCTTCTTTGTATCCATTGCTTTCCTTGATGTGATATTGAATAATAGAATACTTGGAATTAATGGTATGTCTGTTGCGGCCCACCAAAGCTAGAACCAAAAGATAGTGGTGTTGGGCTATGGTCAAGTTTTACATTTATAAGTTGCCACTACTACCTTTCACTAAAAATATAGTTAGGGAGAGTAGGGATCATCTCAAGAGATTAGTGGGTGGTATTAGGTTGTGGAATCGAGATTAGGGTTAGTAGGTCGAGTGATCAAAAGATTGGA